AGCGGTTTGTCGGTCCTTTCATGATTACGGATGGCATTGGAGCTGTAGCTTATCGGTTGGCACTTCTGGATAATTTGGGTCGCGTCCACAATGTGTTCCATGTTTCCATGTGGTGGAAATTTCTGCGAGATGAGGATCAGTATCAGCATATCGATGTTGGGGAGATTGAGTTGCAGTCGGATGTAAGATATTTGGAACCACCGTGTCGTATTGTCGATCGTCGAGATCAAATTCTTCGTAATAAGGATATCCCTTTAGTGCGTGTTCAGTGGAGTCACCACAATGCGGTTAAGTCTACTTGGGAATGAGAGGATGTCGTTCGCTCGCCGTTTCTTGAAATATTGGAAGAAGGAAAGAACGAATTCCGAGAACGGAATTCCTTTTGTTAGGGGGAAAGAATGTAATACCCCTAATTTTAAAAGGATAGTCTCGGCATTTTAATTAATGTTTTATTGCATTTTATTTGCTGATGTGGAATTTGCTTGTTTGTTTAGTTGTGGTTTTTATTTAATTTAATTATTGATGTTTTTATTTAAATTGAATTATTTGTTTAATTATTTTTATTTAGTTAAATTATTTGTTTTCATTAATGTATGCTGATATGGAAATTTAATTGTTTGTTTTCGTTAAATATTTAATTAGGGTTTTATATTCTGTTTAGGTAATTAAGTTTTTGGCCGACTAGTTTTATTTCTCTTTTAGTTTTCCGTCTCTTATTATGATTAAAATTAGGATAAAATTATTGGCCTATATATATACTTGTATGAGTTTACCAAGGGTTTTAGAACCCTAATCACGTAACAATGGAGGCGACGTGATACCAAAAGTTTTGAGAGGAAAACAGAGAGAAAGAGTTGGGGGTTTCGGCTATCGATTAAAGGTCAGACCAAGGAGGAAGGTAGAGGTTGATTGTTGGGTTAGACCTGAAGTAATAGGAGGCTTGACGGTAATTGGAACTCGCCGGGAAAATCTAGGAAGACGGCGTTGAGATTTTTATTCAAAGTCTCACAGGTAAGTTTCTATTATAACTCCTTCCCTTAAACCTGTGTTCTGTGCATGCCTAGGTAGACTCCAGGGTTTACATTAATGCTAAAACATATCTTTTATGCATGTTTAAACTATATTTAATTTCATTGAATTAAATTGGTTTGAGATTTCTTAAAGTTTCTAACTGAATCCTGCTGTCGTTGATTGTAAGCTTTGTTTAATTGATGTCGTTGATGCATATAGATGTCTTATAAATAATTTGGGACATTGATTGAACCCTAGAACAAGTAATAAAAATATTACAGAGGCTCTGAGTATTGTCGGAGGCGAAAAAAACGAAGGGAAACGGACGACGGCTCTTAAGGGATAGAAATCAGGTTCCCAAAAGGAGGGAGCTAGCTCCCTCAAGGCAAGAGTCGGCTCCCACATGGAGGGAGCCGCCTCCCAACTCCTTAGAGCGGGCTCCCAAGGGTGGGGAGCCGGCTCCCATTGTTTTGGAGCAGGCTCTCAACTTGTGAGGGCCTGCTGTTACCTAGAAACGCGTATAAACTGTTTTTAAGGTTTATATGGGGTATTCTTAAGCTGTTTAAACTGCACTGAATGTTGTAAATAGTTGTTATGGACCTATAAAAATATTGGGAAACATTATTATAATAATGATTTAAGGAATAGAGCAACATAAAGTGAAAAAAAAAAAGTCTACAAGTGGAATGCTGTTTGGTTAATTTATTTGCTTACTGAAACTTTGCAAATCTTTTGTATATGATTTAATAATATTTAATCATATTCCAACAGTGTTATACGTGTAAGGGATTATCTGAAAATAGCTGTGCTTGGATTGGATTAAATTGATATTTTTTAAATATATTATAAATCGCATCAATTTATGAACTGATTGAAGGATTTAATTGCTTACTATAATTTTAGCAATTTGTCTATGTATGATTAAACAATATTAATCATGGTTAAGCACTGTAATGAGCATAATTGACTATCTGAAACTACAGTATTCTTATATGGAGTTAATTGATGTTTTAACTGTTTAGATTTCATCAATTGTTGGATTTGTGGATTTTTATGAAATTTACGTTTAAGAATTTCATAATAATATGCTCAGTAATGATTCTGATTATCATTATATTGTTCTGGATTATAATTGATAAACTGCTTGTTCTGTTTTGTCAATTGTTGGATTTGTTGTGTGGGTATGCACCGGTATAGGACGGTGGCATACTAGGGACGGATTAGTTCAAAACACTAAGTGCTATATATTTTGGAATAAGTTGGATTAACTATAAAAGTTAAGTTTTACTTATATATATGTATATGCACCGGTATGGGACGGTGGCATATTAGGGATGGCTCAGTTCAAAACACTAAGACCTACCTGTTCTGAGGATGGATTAGTTCAAAACACTAAGTCCTACCTATTCTGTAAGAAGATGGATTCACTATAAAAGTTAAGTCCTACTTATATATATGTCAAATCAATAAACATTTGAATGACATACCTTGAACGAACTTATATATATATATCTTTATGGTGCCGCGATATGAGCTTGAGTCTTAGGATCATAGTTATGGTGCGTATATCGCCTAGGATAGATAACTTGACATAGTTGCTGGTCCCTGGTAGGTCTAGGTATACATGACCACGTTACGTGCGATTTGCATGTTACCTTCTATTTAGGCTGAGACTACACTATAGTCTAATGAACATCCTATAGTGTGTATTTATATCTATATAGACTATTTTAGTTATTGTTGAGCTATCTAAGATGTATCTGCGTATCGGGTTTCTGTATGGATTATAGTAGGATTGAACTTGCATGTGGGCCTAACCCACTTTTATTTTTCAGGTGCTCGTCAGTTCCAGGGTTAGGGCTTGATCGTGCAAATGCAGATACAGTCACTCATTCTTCCGCTTATGTAGGACTGATTCTTGTATTTCAGTAGTTCCTTTTCTGTTTGGGATTTTTAATAGGGGTCCACTGGATGGATTCCTGAGTTGTACGGAAAGTTTAAATTATATTAATATATAATTTTGAGGATTTGTAATATTTAGAATTCTTTTTAGCTTATTATTTTATTCTTATTTCATTTTTGTATTTCGTGCTTATTTACATATTAATTGTTTGGTATCCCTCGAATCTGTGCTCGGACTTGATCACCCGTGACTTTAGAATCGAGGGGTATCACACCTTTCACCACCACGGTCGCCGCTACTGCTACCACCTTTCACCACCACCACCGCCACCGCTACCACCGCCTTCCGCAACCACCATCGTCATTACCTTCCACCACCACTTCTTTCCACCATCACCATAGTCGCACCACTATCTCCTTCCACCACACTGCTGCCACCGCTTTCCACCAACACTACTGCCACTTTCCACCAACACCGATGCCGCCATTTTCCACCATTGCCACCACCATCGCCTTCCGACACCACCACCTACACCATTACCACTTTCCACCATTCACCACCGTCACTGCCATCATTTATTTTTAAAAATTTATTAGAGAATGTCATTTTGTTAATTTAATTTATTTGTTATTAAGAGGGATATTTTGGGGAATTCAATTAAAAATTTATTCCATTCTAAATTTTAAATTGGTCTAACCAAACACTAAAATGGTTATTATCATTCCATTCCTACATATTTTATATTTACAACCAAACAATAGAATGAGAATGACCATTCCATTCCACACTCATTCTTATTTCATTTCTGCATACCAAACATAGCATGAGGGTATTCAGTATGGAGAGCCACTTTTGGCTCTCCACTTTATCAGAGTCACAAAACTTGTGATTTAGACTCTACGACCTCAACATCCTTTAAATGTGAACCTTCTCTATGTTTTGAAACTTAGAATCACTCTCTTTCTTAATTAAGATTATTTGCCTTTGCATTCTTTAGGAAATTTCTAAATTTCGTAGCGAAGAGAGCTACTTTTTCATCAGAATCACTATCATCCTTCACAACCTCAGTCTTTGTAGATTTTAAAGCCAAGTTGTTTGGTTTATGGGGTTTGTGATACTTTTTCAGACTTCAAGGAAAAGTGCGACTGATTGCATTTTTTACAGATTTCAAAAGTTGGGAATTGCGACAAGTGCGACTGGTTGGACTTTTTCAGACTTTAAGAAAAACCTATCCAACGAAGTTCAACCGGTTGAACTTTTCCAGATTTTGAAATTTTCAATTGAAAACAAGTTTTTTCTAATTAGTCTTGTCACACCAAACTTAAAATATAAAGAACTTTTCCAGATTTTGAAATTTTCAATTGAAAACGAGTGTTTTCTAATTAGTCTTGTCATACCAAACTTAAAATATAAAGCGCCCACACTCACATACCTGTTGTCATCGAATCAAGGTATTCGTGCACTTATTGTTCCGTTTCAGAAATCAAGACTTAAAGTAAAACATAAATTACAACTCGATCAGACACGTCTTGGACACGAAATTCATCAAACAAAAAAATTAAATTCGTCACAGTTTTTTGCTATTAAATGTAATGTTTTTCTTTTAAATGTATATGGACAAATCTAGTGAAGTAAGTCCTGCAGTACAATAACCTGGCCGTGATTATTTACCCAAAAAAAAAAAATCATTCAAATTTACATATCATGAGTTGTGGAGCCATTCATGGAAACTCACCCATTATGGGTTGTGAAGCGATTGATGGAAAATTTTTGGGACTATTGTGAAAACAAAAGCATATATGAGTTGATTATCCTGATATTATTGAAGTGTCAACTGCTTACATATATGGGTTATTTTGAAAATGTTTGTTATTGAAGTTTGCTTGCTAAGAGATTGACATAGCCAAGACTTCAATATTCATGATTTATTCAGTCCATTCGGGAAAAAAGAATCTTGAAATATGTCATCCACACACACATACAAAAAAACTAAATTGCGCTTTCCCTTTATTCATTGAACAATGGATTATTGAGATATTTGAACTACATACAAGAACTTCAAGCTCTACTGATTGATAAAAGAGGGCTATCTGCAAGGAGGAGGTATGACTTGGCCGTGAGAGATGACATTGACATGAGAACATGTAGAAATAGCAGGACCTTCATGACCAAGGTATTTTAAGTCGATATTCTCAAGCACAATGTTCTGGCATGGCTTGCTTCCACTACACACCAGTTTTACTGCTTCTCTTGATGCAGAAGTGCCCTGAATATTACTGAATGTAACATTGGTTATCTGAATCTGTGACGGTTTCTGTGAATAAACCAACCAAAAAAAAAAAAAATTAAATAAATAAGAATGTCATTTACTTTCAAGACATGCTACACACACTGACATACACACAAAAAGAAGTGCGTGCTACTTCATGGTTCATTGTGTGTTTGTTTGTGTTTCTTGAAATATTTATGATGGGATATTAAATCCTGGTATGTGGTGTTAGGAGCATTTTCTTAAATATAGAGAGGTCACAGGAGGAAGAATTTCTCATATTTCAAATACAAGTGTTTTCAATTTCATGATGTTTTGATCAACAAAGAACCTTAATTTTCAAGAGGCTCCTATTATTTGTTTATTAGTATTACTTGCGAGTGGATCATAATTTCATAAATTAGAGGAAAAATTATAGAAAAGTGGAATCTTGGGTGTCTATTTACTCAGAGATGGAGTCAAACCAACACTTTTCAAAATCATGAATTTTGACCAAAGTTTAATGCGAATATGAAAAAACAATATTCATTTGTCCAAACTACTCTTAGTATTTTTAGGTATCACATTTATGCATGTAAGTATCACTCTTGTTCATAAAGGTACTACTTTTTATGCCGGCCTTTTTTTGATTGCACAATAAACAGTACCTGTGTGCACAAAAGTGATACATCTGTGCATAAAAGTAGTACTTACATGCATAAAAGTGGTATCCGAAGATACTAAAAGTAATTTTGGCAAATGAAGATTGTTTTTCCATTTCCATATCAGACTTTGGTCAAAGTTCATGACTTCGAATAATATTGCATCTCTAGCATAGACTCTCAAAACTCTACTTCTCTGTAATTTTTCCTATATTAAATATCAAGAAAAATTAATTACTTGAAACTAGAGTAGCAGATAATTCAGTTATTGAGTAGCATCAAACTAAGCAAGAACTAATTACTAAATCAAATATGTACCTGACTACATGGAGGGTATGGACAATACTGTTGATCAATGAGGATGGGGTTGGAAACATTGTTCACAACAATGTCATCAAATTGGAAGTCTGAAGCAACACCACCAGCATCATTAGGTTTTGCACCCCAAGTTTTGATCCTCACGCCGGTAAGGGTACTCCTAAAAGTGCAATTAGTGACTGTTAATCCAGTCACACGTTCTTCTTCGTCGGACCCTCCTAAGCTTCCGACGCTAATTCCATGTCCAGGACCACAAAAACTCTTTGAGATGTGGATGTTACTGTTTCCAGAACTCAAAGATATGCAATCATCTCCAGTGGCAATGTCCATCACTGAAATCCTGATGTGGGTTGAGACACCGAAATGGATTCCATCGGTGTTGGGACTGTCTCCGGGAGCTGAAATTCCTACGTGACTTATGTTTAACCCATGACATGCGAAAATGTTGAGATGCACATTCTTGCTGTTGAGTGAGTTTATGTGACTGATCTCTGAATTCTTGATGAAGTTGAGAGTCAATGACTGATCTCATTTTTTGAGCATCATGTACACACCACAATTGAAAACAAAGAAATCTTTGTGTTAATATAATAGTAATAACTAGAACTCAATCCAATTTAAGAGAAAAATGTTGACCACATTGTTTTGTAACGTTGAATTCATTATGCATACACACACACACACACATATAGATATGTATATATATATATAGAAAATAGTACTTACAGCAGGGAGGCCGGGACACTGTCCCTTGCCGCAATTGTTATATGGCCAACCTGATGCACCTTGGCCATCCAAAGTCCCACCACCTGTGATTGTCAAATTCTCCATGTATTGGAAGTTAATCCAATGGTTAGTGTTAAGGAATTGTGCTGGTTTTGTGGGAGCCTTTAACACCCCTTTGATAAAAAACTCCACTGGACCATTGCATGGACCAATAAGGTCCAATGAACTCAAGAAGTATGACCCTAATGGGATCAACACTCTGCTTCTTCCATGCCATTTACACGAGTCCTTCCATGCTTTCAAAATTGCCTGCAATATATATATACACAATTGAGTTGATTCTTGGTTACCAAAAAAAAACAAAACTAGGTATATGCATGCAAGAATAAGTTGATTTAAATTCAAATGTATACCTTAGAGTTATCAGTCTTTCCATTTGCAATTGCACCATATTTGGTCACATCAAAAACCTTGGTTCGGGGTAGAGCATTGGTTACAATGCACACTAACAAGAATATTACTAAGAAAATTATTTTGGAAAATGGACTCAAACCCATCTCTCGTGTTGCTTCTATTCATTTCGCTTCTTGTCCCTATATATATATATATATATATATTTGCATGTGAATTTGGGATAGAAATGGGATGGGGAATAAATTAAAAGCATTTACTTTTTGTTGATTCCTCGAATATGATTTTTGAGTACCTAACCAAAAAAAAAAAACAGGAAACTGGTTTTGGGAATGCTGTGATTAATTTGTTTCCTCAACAGTATGAGTAATTTATTAGTGTTTGCTGTGTGAGGGAGAAAAAAAAAATCTTTGATTGCTAAGCAATGTAGGAAAATATTTGATTGCTTCTAATAATATTTCCATTTTTTTGAGGATATTTCGAGGGGAAAAAAAAAAAAAAATTGGATAGGATATATACTTCAAATTAGAAATATTTTTATGGGTTTTTATTATATGCCAAATACTCCACAAGTAAAAGTAGACTTTCATGCCACCTCAGTTTTTATTCTCCTTTTTTTTTTTTTTTTTTTTCAAAATTCATTTATTTATTTAATTAGTTACTTGAATTGTTTTTCAATTCTTTATAGAGTCCAATATAGTGGTGGGTTTGGCCGAATAAATGAGCTTTACTATTACAGCCTTAGTGACCTAGTTTCTGTTATTAAGGCAGAGCGTAAACAGAAACATATAACAAAAACTATTTATTATTTAAGCATAGAAGGTAACATATAAAACTTTTTGACTCTTAACTTGGTATATGACTTCTGAGATGGACGATGGGATAAGAATATAGGTCGGTTTTAAAGTTTGGGTGTTAAATTATCGTCAATTGTATATATATATATATTTTCTCCTTTGATTAAGAATTAAGCAACTTGATGGTATGACATAAATGCTATTATTGGATTAAGAATTTAAGCACCAGTCCCAGCCATACATTAATAATGCATTTAAGTCTTCAAACAATTGAATGGATGGGACTGAATTATTAGATTTCCTGACCTACAAATACTTAGAGTCGTGATTTAAGAATCGAATTTAATAATTACATAATTTAATTTATATGAGTGAAGTGGCAAAATATTACATTACTTACATAAAATTGAGAATTTAGTCTCTAAATTATTATTCTAAATAGTATTTTTCGATTAATAATCTAAGTAAAATTTATGACTTTGCTAGCGACAATAGTTAAAAACCAATCACAATTCCTTGGGACTCTTTTTGTTATTAGTTAAAACCAAATGATAAGAGTTCCTAGGAAGTTGTCATGGCCACAATTGTTAGCACTTCTCGTGACATAAGAATTAAAAATTGGTCAAATTCTGACACTTTCAAATTTATCTTTTATTTATTGTTCTCATATTAACTCCTATGAGAATTAATAACTGTCACTTTTTTTTTTACTGAAAAAGTGATTTTCCCATTATGCCCACTGCTTAATTTAACCCATGTATGCCTCATTGGTGACTTGTATTATTAAAACAAGAAATATCATTTTTACCCTTGACTTGACACACAATCTCACCAAAGCTGTCTTCCAGGCAAAAACGTGGGATCACTCTGAGACATCATGAGCTCACCTCCATTTATGGTGGCATATTCTTCAACCAGGAAACGAAATCATTTCCCGGGAATCCACACTGTCTAGGTTAGTGATCCAGTTATTATATTTTTTACTACTGCAGTGGGATAGGGAGTGAATAACCATATCAGAACTTATTTGTCCAACTAACACTACCTCTTGAAAATGAAAGGTTGAGAGGGAGTCTTCAACCGTGTGGCCATATTTACTTATTGAAAAAATTTAAGGATCCAATTATTTAAAAAAAAATAATAATAATAATAAAAAAAAACCTACAAGTTCATATGTAGGGAAAGAGACTGTAAATATAATATTTAAGTAAAAACATATGAAGGGTATAAAGGTCCAATTAATTAAGGTTAAAAGTGATGGACGGTAGTTTTGGCATTTTATTTTTTAAAATTAGCTTACTTTTGACCTAGGACTAATATAAAACTTAAATTTGTAAGGGTTAAACGCTCTAACGCCCTCTCAAGTTTGTTTTTATTGTTCTTAGATTAAATCAGTAAAAAAAAAAATAAGAAGAAGCATAAACCACTCCTCATATTTGGTTGATTTTGCCCTTGATTTGATTTTACGTGCACTCACTTGGAAAGTATTTGAATTCTACCCGATTAGGTAAAGTGATTTGACCGTATCGGGTGGGGAATAGTATTAGATATTCTTATCTCGCTTGCATCAGATCTAGATGTGAAAAGGTCCATTTGCAATGAGGGTGTTAGCCTGTTAGGAGTTGGATGCCAGTAGCCCTTTACAATTACCATGACGATGAAAATGCTTTTTAGGTTTATTTATTTTTATATAAACAAGTTGAAATTTTGCGCATTTTAAAAGAAACAAATTATATTTATTCTCCGCTATTTTTGTTTCGGCTTAATTAATAATTTTTTGGGGATCAATTGAAAATTCCTATTTGTATTGGTTACCATAAATGTGGGGTCGTTCTGCTCCATTGATACTTGGTGAATTAATTCAATTTACACTATTGGATTAAGAAAATGGTCCTACAAGAGTATATTAATATATTACAAAGAAATATCAATGTGAAAAGGTCCATTTGCAATGAGGGTGTTAGCCTGTTAGGAGTTGGACGCCAGTAGCCCTTTACAATTACCATGATGATGAAAATGCTTTTTAGGTTTATTTATTTTTATATAAACAAGTTGAAATTTTGCGTATTTTAAAAGAAACAACTTATATTTTATTCTCCGCTATTTTTGTTTTGGCTTAATTAATAACAACTTATGTGGAATAACAGTCTGAATTGAATTGGTCTATCACATATCAAATGATCCAGGGCCATTTGATAATTTATCGTGGCTGAATAGAATAGGATAAAAAAAAAAAAAAAAAAAAAAAAAAAAAAAAAAAAAAAAACCTTGACCAACTCCAGTTGGTGCCAATAGTACTATGTAATTATACAATTAAAAATAAAAAGTTATATATCAATCATAATAAAATATTTTTTACAATATTATTTTAATTAATTAATATATATATAATTAAAAAAAAAATAAACCTATATATATATATATATGATAACTGATGTGCAAAGGGAGTTAAAAACAAAGAAGAAGAAGAAGCAATAAGTTAAAGGTAAAAAAGAGAGTTGTAAAGAAAAAATATTGTTCATGACTTAAATTATATTTAATAATTGTTGCAATTTTTGAGAAACAAAAATTTGATTGGTTTGACTCCACTTTGAGAAATATATCTTTGTTACCTCGATGGCTCAATGAAATATTAATAGAAAATATATAAAATTTTAACTTTTTTATAAGAAAACAAAATACAATTAGAAGGAATAAAATAGAATAGTGTGTTAATAATTATACAATGAGTAATTTAAGAAATTTTCATCTAACATGGGGAAATTATATGCATGTTATTATTGTGGATTTAGTCGCAAAAATAGCAAGAAATTAATTCATTCACACACACTTTTTGTCCATACCAGAGTTTGAACCATTCACCTCCTTTTTAATAATGTAAATATTATACAATTAGATTAGATGTTGTTTAGTTTCAACTTTCCTTATTTGCACCCTTAATTGGCATACCAACTAGGGATGGCAGCGCAGTGGAATTGGCTAAAGCATACGTCCTCTTAGAAAATTCGTCATACTAATTTTGCCCCTATTATGGAATGGGTTTGTAATTGGTGCATCATCTCCGTTCTTACTCCGATAAATAAAGTATCGATTCCGTCCCATATACTTAATTTAATTACAAAAATGAGGTGGGTTATGCCATACAGTTAAAAAAAAAAAAAAAAAAAAAACTAATATTGATGAAAATTCGAAGCATAAATATTTTCACTGTAAAATCAAGTGGGTGAAGTGGTGCGTTTTGTGCCATTTGACCAATACCATGGACTGCCGTGAAAAGTAGTATAATTGGGGTCTAGGGCGTTGGAGTAGTTGGAGAAAGGATTTAGCTCACATGCAATGTCTCTCTTAGCCACAAGAGCCCTCAGCTCCTTATTTGGTTTCACATCCATTCTCATGCTCATGGACTAACCTTCTCATTACCAACTTAGGAGGAGAAGGTGTTGGGTAAGTTGGTATGGTAAGTTCGTATGCCATTGGTATGTTCCGTCAACTAAAATTCATCATTTATTAAAAAATTATTTTATAATTAAATTTGTAAAGTTTTTATTTACCGAGTATACCAAAGACAGCAGTCGCTTCAATTGCCCAGTAGATTAGTGTTTCCGATAAATTTTGAAATGCCAGACTTCGACTCTCTACATCTACTAATCTAACTTCTAATCCTTCTTACCTTATAAAAGAAATTAATAAAAAAAAATAATAATATATACCAAAGACAGAATATGCCCAACTCATTCCATATCCCCTCACTTTGAAGGCTTTCGTATTCTTTCTGATGTTATATATTTGCTAGCTACCATAATAAATTATTATTTGGTGGTCACCATGATCAATGGACAATGACAGCCAAAATTGGTTTAAAGAAAATGTTTGAATAATTATAAGCATGTGTTTTGTTGCAAAGACATGAAATGCCCGACTCACCCTTATCCACTCACTTTGAAGGCTTTGTATTCATTTTCTGATGTTATATTTGCTAGCTACCATATCAAATTATTTGGTGGGTCCAAATTAATCATGATCAATGACTGCTAAAATTGTTTTAAAGAAAATGTTTGATTAATTATAAGCATGTGTTTTGTTGCATTACTAGGTATTCGGCTCATTGGAAAGCGCTGGTTCCGCTCTCCGAATTGCATAGAGTGGATGGTGGAATAGAATAGTGTGGGTATGCGGGCGTGCCAGGAACTGCAGTAGTTCCAAAATAGAAATCCGACGTTGAAAATTTGTAGGGATCAGGCGATTGTATGAAGGTTTGGAATGACCACCTTCGAAGAGTTTTTTTTGCCTTTGAATAAGGACTTCAAATTATTCTATGGCTAATGGAAATGAAGACGGTATTGAAGTGC